TTTTGCTTATAAAAATATGGCTTTAAGTGTCCTCTATACGATGGTGAAAACCGCAGGCCGCTAAGGCCTTTCGTTAAAAAGTTATTTGAAAAACGGCAACCGGCACGACCTTTCCGTTTCGATAGTAATCGAAATCATACATCAATGTTTTGTAACTCGGATTTTCAAGGAGATCTCTGGAGACCTCAGCATCTATCTACAGCCAGCTTGAGAAATCTTTTTTGTTTTCATAAACAGAATCAGACTACAAAACCTTGTCATTCATGAGAGTTTCAACAGTTCTAGTGAAAAACTAACGATTTTAGAAGCCATTATATTGTGAGCCTATCAAAGGGCTAATCCATGGAAAACGTGGAATTCAATAGCTCAGGAATGGAATGAGTTGTAAAGCTGGAACTTTTTATGAATATCACAGACATATAGAAGAGCCATAGAAAGAAATTTGAGCTCTTAACTACTTTTCTTCGTAGAGTTATGAATTATTTTCGGTAGAAAAAAGTAGAAAAATCGCTCTAATTTTTGAAGGATGAATCATCGGCCGAAATCCTTTTTGGCTTTTTACAACCTCGGTATTCTCTATCGATCGACGTATGAATGAATGAAAGCGGAGGGGTACATGTTCATAGGTTTCCTCGTAAGCAGTTTAAAATCCAGTGGAAAATGAAAAAATCGTTCTTTTAAGATTTTGCGATTTTCGACAACTTTTGGAAAATGTTCTTTGAACAGTTGGTTTAGAGGTCCTTACGCAAGAAAAAGCCATTCAAAAAAGTTTGATCTAATATGATGCAATTGGAAGCCATGCTCTTCAGTTTTTGGGAGGGTTAATTAGTTGTTGAATGGCGTTAAGAAACGTACTAAGAACAACTGATTCACAGTAGTGATTCAGCTGATAGCGCGACCGATCTTTCAAAGCTTATTAGTCTAGTTTCAGTAGCTCTATATGCACTATAAGTTGGTTAGTTAGCCAAAAGACCCTCACCTTTCGATGTAGGGTGAAGATCAAAAAGTATAGAAAACAAGTGCGTTTTTGTTCTTTTCATGATCTTTTTCTGGAGCGAGAAGAGTAGGCAGCTAATAATAGGTAGCTGATCTAAGAGGTATTAGTAGAGCAGGAGTTTCACCCATTGCTCGAAAATAGCAGCGAGCCCCTTTGGGTGCTCATACACTCCGACAGGCAAATTAACTGTAAGATACTTATGGCTTAAGCAAAGTAATTCTAGGTCATTTTGAATTCAATTATGAAGTTTTACACGATAAACTAGTGAGCTCATGTCGATATCAAATTGTGTTATACCGTCTTTCACTAAAGTTTTGAATACAAACTTTTTGGTTAAATCACGTATATCATAATTTTTATATTTATTTTTTGTCGTTTTAGATGATGAAAATCAACTAATATTGAAACATCCAGCAGAAGAAACTAATAGTGAAATGTTATCGTATTGGAAAGAATTATTACCACAACGATTCCATTATAAACAAATAATGTTTAATGGCAGCACAAAAGTAAAGGAATCAAATGGTGCTGTGAATGCTATCATGGAAAATTTAATAAGTTTAGAATTAGTTTAGAATCATCAACTTTAGAATCATCAAAATATTTTGTTCTAAGAAAGTATAAACACTATGACAGTAGAATGAACTATAAAAGAAATGTTCTCTTTTTGCTTTAAATGTGTTGTTGCTAGCTTAATACACCACCACCTCATCCTCTCCCTCAAAAGACGAAGTAAAATCCAATTGTTGAATGAAAGCGGTAACTTAACGGATGAATCTTTCACTGAATTCAGAAAAAAAGTTTCCAGCAAGAGGCTGCTTATGAATAGTTTTTCCAGGGGACGACTATATCCTTATGTTGACTCAAGACACTTTGACTTTTCTTTCTACGACTTCTTATGACTCTATACAAGAGACAGGAACGAATGTTTGTCGATGTTCTTTTTCTGAGTGTGATTTTATTTTAAAAGATAACGAAAAGAGTGTAGTGGCACTATTCCTAGTGTATTTCTTTTCAATTTATGTACAATGTCAGTATTAAAATATGCTTGTTTATGAAGTACTTTATAAGCACTTTGAAATTTAGTACTTCTGGAATGTTTTCAAATGGAATTATTGAACGTTGGTATGCTGATGAAGATCAAATGCTAATACTTGTCATTATCTATCAACTTCATTTTTGTACACATTAATACTTTATCTAACCCTAAAACTTTGAAAGTTTTGATAAATTAACAATTTTTTTAGCGTTATATAAAAGGAACAGTTTTTATTAGAAACAGTTAAGATGATAAATAAAAGGGACTCCAGCCGTTCAGGATGTGTGTTTCTTTGGCGGACATCCAGACCAAATGGTATTTTTTGGTAAATGATCATTTTTCATTATCAATGTACATGGTAAAATTCTGTTATTTCCATCTAGTTTTGTTCCAGGAAACAATACAGATGATGAATATAATATGGAATTAGATCCAATTCTTATTCGAGAAGTTTGATATAAACCTTGTTCAAATGTGTGGGGCTAGAAACAAAGAAAAACAATCTAGATGGCATATTATAACGCAATACAAAGTGAGGCCCTCAGTTCATTTAACAAATTTAGAAAAAGTCAAACATCTGGAGTATAAAGAACAACTAACGTTCATCAGATTAGTTTGTACGGTCCTCTACCGTAAGTCCTTACGCGATTTCACTTATACTTACATCTGTGATTGGTCTGCAAGAAGCTTGTAAAAATGTCCACCTTCCTCGATTTCTCTTTCTCCTTTTCGTTCAGACAAAGCTAGGCGAGCAACAGTACATATATAATCAGGACCTACCATAACCCACTGGAAAAAAATTAAAATTCATGCAGGATCCCTGTTGAGGATTGTGTGTGTTGAAAGATCGGGCTATGTTCCTCACCTTTACGCAGGGTTTTTATTGTGCCGCCACCGACAGAACCCTACATAGTTCATGTAGGATTAGCGTGGAAAAAATTCCGCAAAAAGGTAAAATACATCGCCGGCTACTTTAACATAGAGATCTCTTAGGCTTTCTACGCAGAGTCCTGCGGAATTTTATTCTGAAAGAAAAGGCTTCTTTCATCACATTGTAAACATATGTTTGAAATGAGATGAGAGATATCTTTTCCAACGTTTGAGATCATGCAGCGGGTAACTGAATTTAGATATATGTCAAACCGAAACAATTAAAATAAAAAGTTTGGTTTTATATAAATGAAAATGAGTGTTTGTTTGTTCGGCGCCGCATTGCCCGAATGTTCTTAGAGAACGTTCAGACTATGTTCCGGTCGCTATTTCGCGGGTCCTACAGAATATCTCATTTTATACCAGCTTTGCTAATATAGTTGTAGAGAATAGTCGGTTCTATCACCCTAGTGACTATCAAGCTTGTAAGTAAAAAACGAAGGAGAAACAGTGAAATTACGAAGAAACTCTCGTGAAGTAAATATTTTCCCCTTAAAATACTCGATATATCAAGCGTTCATTTTCTTTTCTAATTGTTTGTACTCCTTCAAAGACAGTCAATCGTCGTGTTTCGACATCTGTACATCAACAAATGCCATCAGACGAACTTCTTCTGTCTTGTCATAGTTTTCAGTCATAAATCTTTACTTTCATAATAAAAAGCATGATGCTATTGTATTTTCCTTATAATAGCAAAAATATTTTGTTCTAAGAAAGTATAAACACTATGACAGTAGAATGAACTATAAAAGAAATGTTCTCTTTTTGCTTTAAATGTGTTGTTGCTAGCTTGTTAAACAAATAATCTTTCGAAACACGACGACAGACTGTCTTTGAAGACAGTACAAACAATTGGAAAAGAAAACGAAGCTTGATATATATCAGCTGTATATAGCAAAACTAGTGTAAAATGAAATATTCTGTAGTAGCTGCAGAATAGCGAACTTGCGACAGGAGTATATTTTAGAATATTCCCTTAGCTTCTTCCCAACAATTTTATCGGTCTTAGGTTAATCTTATCGGTCAATTTTATCGGTCTTAGGTTAAACAATGCATTTCTTATCTATATTTACTTCCACGCCCACTCTGTAACAACTTTTCCTGCAAGCTGCTGTATTTTTTCTTTAGGTTTAGTATGGACTGGCCGACTAAATTATAAACTTTTTACTTCTCAGTGAAAATAGTCAAAAGTGAGTTATTTCACTTAGTATAGATTTTCACTATGTTTTGGAATTATCTTCTGAAAACAAACATTGCCATGAGACTCAGCATAGTCGAAAACCTACGTTTCAAGTAGTTTCTAAGGTTATCAGAACTAAGCGAACCGAGATAGGTAGGTCCTCGGGGAACGCCTGAACCATGATAGATGAAGACTTGAGACTTGTATAGTTTTGCGGAGCATGATCTGGCGGTTCGAATCTACTATTCGGAATTCAAAATTCAAAACTCTTTTAGTGGTGAAGAAGTTTCTCTAAAACGTTCGTAAGAGGCTTACCACCTACAAGTTTTTATTCTTTTGCCCTAATTTTTTTAAATTCAGATTGCTCCATCTTTTTTGTTCTGGAAACTGAAACACGCAGATTTCTGCTTCTCTT